TAGTAGTCTCTAAATACATGAGGAATATTGATATAATGTTATTTTGATTATCCATTTATTATTTAGCTCATTTTGATTATTATTACATTTTTTAAAGCTCATTTTCCTTAGTAATTTGTTGAGAAAACACGATGATAGGTTTGATATTTGAGGTGGCTGTATCACAGTAAATATGGCTGTATAGGCGTTAATATTTAAAATTAGCAAAGAAAGACTTTACAGAAAGAAATGTAAATTGCTGATGTAAACACAATAGTACCATTTTCAAAACGATTCTACGGCTGGTTTTGATTTTGAGTTTTGTGAAAAATGACGATTTCGACAGGGCTCGGATTCTTTGCAGGCGGCGGGCTGTATGTACCCCATCTTTGTCTTCGTCCGCTGGTCAAGTTTTTATTACTTGATTTAATCATTGTCTATCTTCTATATCTATAAAATACGGATGACTGTCTGTGTAAGGTAAAAGGTACCTAAGTACCATAGAGGTACGTAAGTGATAAAAGTAATTGCGAAACTCCAGTTATCTAATACTTATCATAAATTGTATAAAACCTTATACAAGCCAAGGGATTTGTAGATCAGTGTTTAAAAGGGAATTCGGAAGTAAAAATAATACAGCTGATGCCATCTGTCGGCAGAAGAGAACACTATCAACTGGCTGGTCAACAGTGGCTATAAGGTACAGCTTACGCCATCTGTTGACATCAAATTACACTTATAACAAATTACCCCACAAAATACAACTAACGCCATCTCGTTTTTTTCCAACGCACTATAAATAGCCAAACAGCAACCCATAAGGCGGGTTGTTGTGCTCGGGTAGGAGGTTCCAAGCTCCGCCCACAGATGGTATGGGGTGCATAATAAATGGCATATCATTGGTAGATATTCTTTGTTGACATTCAGACAACAGCCAATCACTGGAAGGGATCAGCTAAAGGCTCCATCCACTTAATAAATCATCTTTATTCAGCACACCATCCTTGCTTATGACATTCTGCTTCAACTTTAATCTACCTAAAAAGTGAAATGTTAAGTATTTAAAAGTATTAATATAGTGATAATTAAATACTGCAGGATGTAACGAGTGTTACAGAAACATGGGCTGGCTACCTGACTTGTGACGTCATCAGTGGGTGTTGCCTCACACAAATAATATCGGGGATACAATGCCTCCGTCCTCTTATTGGTCTACATTATTCAGTTAGATGGAAATTTCTGTCTTGTATAAAACAGACATTGTTGTTATTTTGTACAACAACAACAAGGTTGTTGAGCAAAAGGACGTATTTCTTATTTTGGATTTTATTCATATAAGCGTTGGCATTCCCCGCAACAGCCAATCACAGGAAGGTATTTGCTGGAAACTCTGCCTTCAACAAAGTTTATTCCTAATGAACTCTAACAATAAATTTGTTTAATAAACGAGTATTTAGGGTCAAGCTACAGATGAACATTATAGGATAACGGTGTTTTAGCTTGCTGCTTCGTTGGACAGAATCCCTGGACTTAATTTTAAAAATAACTAGAAAACGTATTTTATTGCTAACTTTTCGATAAATTTTCCGTTTCTGCCCGAAACGCTGCGCGTACTAGTGGCTTTACAAGATTGTTAATACTATACTATGTACTCTCACAAACCCAATGTACCTTCTTGTATATAAATAAATAAATAAATAAATAAGAAATAAATCCCAGCCTAGAAACAGAGGTACGTAAGTACATAAGTACCAAACACATACCCATAAAGGTACCATACTCAATCCCATATAAGTGTCATACATATGCCCATATAAGAACAATACATATGTCCATTGAGGTACCATACAAAAGCTCTTATAAGTAACATACATATGCCCAAAAAAGGTACCATACTTATGCCCTTATAAGAACAATACATATGTTCTTATAAGTATCATACATATACCCTTATAACTACCATACATATGCCCTTATAAGTACCATAAATGCCCATATAAGTACCATTCATATGCCAATATAGGTACCATACAAATGCCTTTATAAGTAGCATACATATGCCCATATACGCACCATGCATAGTAGTCTCTAAATACATGAGGAATATTGATATATTGTTATTTTGATTATCCATTTATTATTTAGCTCATTTTGATTATTATTACATTTTTTAAAACTCATTTTCCTTAGTAATTTGTTGAGAAAACACGATGATAGGTTTGATATTTGAGGTGGCTGTATCTCAGTAAATATGGCTGTATAGGCGTTAATATTTAAAATTAGCAAAGGAAGACTTTACAGAAAGAAAGGTAAATTGCTGTGGTAAACAATGGTACCATTTTCAAAACGATTCTATGGCTGGTTTTGATTTTGAGTTTTGTGAAAAATGACTATTTCGCCAGGGCTCGGATTCTTTGCAGGCGGCGGGCTGTATGTACCCCATCTTTGTCTTCGTCCGCTGGTTAAGTTTTTATTACTTGATTTAATCATTGTCTATCTTCTATATCTATAAAATAAGGATGACTAAGGTAAAAAGGTACGTATGTACCATACAGGTACGTAAGTACATAAGTACCAAACTCATACCCATATAAGTGTCATACATATGCCCATATAAGAACAATACATATGTCCATTGAGGTACCATACAAAAGCTCTTATAAGTAACATAAATATGCCCAAATTAGTACCATACTTATGCCCTTATATGTACAATACATGTGCTTATACGTTTCATAAATATTCCCTTATAAGTACCACACATACCCAAATAAGAACCATACATATGCCGACAAAGGTACCATACAAATGCTTATATGAGTATCATACATATGCTGCTATAAGTACCTTACATATGCCCATATAAGTGACACACATGTGCCCTTATAATTACCATATATAAGTCTTTTGTAAGTACCATACATGTACCCTTATCAGTACCAAACATATGCCTATATACGTACCATACATATGCCTATATATGTACCATACACATGCCCACATAAGAACCACACACATGCCCATACAAGTACCAAAAAATGTCCAAATACGTGCCATACATGTGCCTATATAAGTACCATGCATATGGCCATAGAGGTACCATGCTAAAGCTTATAAGTAACATACATATGCCCAAATAAGTACCATATATATGCCCTTATTTGAACAATTCATATGTTCTTATAAGCATCATACATATACCTTTATAACTACCATACATATGCAATTATAAGTACCATAAATGCCCATACAAGTACCATTCATATGCCTTTATAAGTAGCATACATATGCCCATATACGCACCATGCATAGTACTCTAAATACGAGGAATATAATGTTATTTTGATTATCCATTTATTATTTAGCTCAATTTGATCATTACATTTTTTACAATTGATTTTCCTTAGTAATTTGTTGAGAAAACACGATGATAGGTTTGATATTTGAGGTGGCTGTTATCTCTAAATATGGCTGTATAGGCGTTAATATTTAAAATTAGCAAAGAAAGACTTTACAGAAAGATAAGTAATTATCAGAAGAACGCACTAAGCCCGGAAGACTTGTCCTAAAACTAGAAATTTAATTAAATCTGTTACCTCTAAAAATATGCATTGATAGGTACAAGAAAAGTAATAGTTTGAGATTTATTACTCAACTATATTTGGTAGCAATATAGAACTGTTCTGTGGGTCGAGAAATACAGGCAACTAAGTCAGTCATTTAGTTACCCAGTTAGAATGGGTTTGAATAACTTAAAATGTATTTTTAGAACACTGGTGAGTGGCGTCAGTTAAAGTTTCTTTCAGATACTAACTCTGCCAAACAGAAAACAGGACAGTCATCTTAAATCTCCAGCGCGGTAACTGGGTGCGAAGCTCAAACTAATGCCACAACCAGGTTTTACAAGTAATCCACCTACACTTATCTTTCCTAGTGTACATATAATGGTTCACACATCCCCCTGCATTGTTCCACATTGTGACAATTTTCAGAAATCAGTTTTCCTTAACCGAAGCATTAAGGAAATAAATTGATAAAAAATAACAATTCAGGTCTAGTAGCCAGTTGTGTAGACAATGCCTTTCGACTACTCCTAGCTAAGGTACTCAAGAAGATTACGAGCTAGTTTATATTTTAATATTTTACAATTTCACCATTCAGGAAACACGCCATTTTGTGGCTAAAAATATAAAGGCTGGTGTCACAGACATGACGTGGTGACAGGCAATGTCGTGCCACTTGACGCCGTTGTTCTAGACTTTCTTCAGTACCCCGAGACTGTCCTCGTCGCCTTCCCTGTTGTCCGACTGGTCGCCTGAGCCTGGGGACATGAGGAAAGGGTTATCAGAACTAATATATTCCTTAAAAAATTCCTAAATCTTTTGACAAGTAAAGATTAACTGTTACAGACCTCTTTACAGCCGTTTATGCCCTTACGAGTAACCTGCACTTCAAAAATCTACCAAATACCCCGTATGTTATTTATATATTTATATATATACAAGGTACATTGGGTTTCTGAGAATACATTGGATAGTACAGTATTTACATTGTAAAGCCACTAGTACGCACAGCGTTTCGGGCAGGTCCTTAATCTAGCAGATAATTTTAAGTAGGTAATTTCAATCAGAATTGATAAATGATAAAGATACATTACAAGAGAAAAATGAGATGAGAGATAAGTAGGTATATTAAAGCACATTGTTATATTAAAGCTCTGATTAAATTACTAATAAAGCTGTCAATGTAAACAAGGTTAATTGACACCATACAGCAGATTGACAGCACATAAGACAACAATGATCACAATGGTAAATATGTTCAGATTGGGAACATAAAGGTTGGGAGATTGGATAGCAATTGATAGTGCAATTTTAAGGCAAAAAGTGAAAAACTATGATGAAATTGGGTACTTTTTAGTATTGATTTTGAATGATGTAAAAGTTGGACAGCTTTTCAATTCAGTAGGGAGTTAGTTATGACAATTTAAGCTGTATGACAAGTAAAATCAGCCATACTAACCTTGCAGTGTGACAGTTGGTGGAGGAGGCGTCGCCCCTCGCCGCTTGTCCACATGAACGGGATCCATCTAAATCAGTATTACGTAGTATTAGAAAAATTCTTTGTCATTTAATAAATTAGTCCAGCAGGATTACCATATTTAAAGTAATGCACATTTATTTCAATTTATAACCATGTTAAACACCAAGTTAACTCACCTCTGGCGATAACGATCTTTATGAGGTCGTCCTTATACTAGTCTGATATTAACTAGCTGGAAGCCTCTGCCAAGACCAGCGGTAAGAGTGCTTTATCGCAGCTGTAGGCATTAATATTTACACCATGAGATGGTAGTTCTTGCCAGCCCTCGTTTCATGCATCTGAGACGGTTAAAAATTAAGATTAATCTAAATTTACTAGAACCGGGACAATGAGAGCCGTGTTTAGGATTTTCACCATTTTGGGTACGCCAAGCTCATTACTAGTTTGATCCAAGAGATTTAGAGTTTAAAAAATCCAACCAGAACATTTTATTACGTTACCAGGAATTCCAAAAGAGGGAGTGTCGCACTTGCTGTGGCCTTTACGGCCGAGACAAGCTGGGACTGAGGGGCTAATTGAAACCTGAGGACCTTAAATGCAGGAAGGGCTTTGAAGGACAATGATGCCGCTTGAAGAGTGAATTGGACATAATATAGCACTGTCAAAGAAACTAGTTTGAAACCGGCTAGCGTCTTGGGAGAACTGTAGAGACTTTACCTGAAGGACTGAAGGAAGAGGAGAGACGAATACTGGTGCAGACGACTGGCTTTGCTCAGGAGACTAAGAACGCCATGGAGTCGTCTGGGGCTAAGCAGTGGTCCCCCAGAGACCCCCACACTAGTACTTTAAGCAGAAGCATTCCGGAATCTGAAAAGTAAAACCAATTCAAGACTAGTCCAGAGGGCAGGGGGGGGGAGGGACGCAACAGGAGGGCAGGGGGGGACGCGACAAAGGGCAGGAGGAGGGAGGGGGGACGCAACAAAGGGCAGGAGGGGGGAAGGGGGGACGCGACAAAGGGCAGGAGGGGGGAAGGGGGGACGCGACAAAGGGCAGGAGGGGGGAAGGGGGGACGCGACAAAGGGCAGGAGGGGGGAAGGGGGGACGCGACAAAGGGCAGGAGGGGGGAAGGGGGGACGCGACAAAGGGCAGGAGGGGGGAAGGGGGGACGCGACAAAGGGCAGGAGGGCGGCAGGGGGGAATGTCCTCACCATACAGCTCACCTTCAAGAGACGAAGCTGGAACTGTATACCAAAAGTGAGGTAAAACAACACTGAAGTGGTTTTTGTCTCAGCGTCACTTTTATACCCAGCAGCCAGTCAAACCCGGCCGCTGATTGGTCGACATTCACCCTAAACCTCACCCCCATTGGTTAACATTTTGCGAGTCTGAAGTGGCAATTAACAATGGCCAACAGCCACTCCTTCACTTCCCCAAATACGAACGCGTCTCTACTGAACCAATAATGATCCCCAGCTTGAATGTTTGAAGTTGACAATTTCAAAATCTAATTCACAAACCAAATACAACATTCTATTGTAACTGTTGCAACAGAACAACAGGTACAACAGAGCAACATTTGCTATATAATCGGCAGTGAAGTAGTAATGGTCTGTCAGTCAAGAACTGTTAATGGCCGCTCCACAACTACAATATATGCAATAATACACTAAGAAACCCAACAACTCAAAGTTCCTGACACAACACTGAATGATGTTAAATATTTGCTTTCAATTGACTTAAGACATTGCTCGTTAATGACAAATTAAGTGACTTTAACTTATTGAAGTGTGGACATTTATGCGTTATAATAACTATTAACGTCCAAAATGACATTGTTCAGAATATTATTCTGCACAAGTAGCAGCCATTACCACCAACAGGTAATGGATGTATTGGTGGACCCAATACCCATTCAACAGGTGGTAGTAGTATCTATGCATGGGGTTCAACCACTGCAAACTACCTCAAGCCCATCATCACCCAGCAAAAATCTGCTATCAGGGGAGAACAACAACAAACTCTGCTTTCAGACAACACTCAGCCCCTTTTGTTGATATCCCTAAACATAAACTCACTCCACTCACACTCTTGTGTCATTTACATTTACAAAACCTTATTCTTAAATGCAAACCCTGTTCTGAAACTCTTCCTGGACGGATGTAATAGAACCCATAATCACCACACCAGAAATAAATGTCTTTGATATCCCCAGAGTAAAACTTAATGTGTAAACATTCTATGCAAATAAAGGGACAGTCTATGGAACTCACTCCCTAACGAATTGAAAAGCTGTCCAATTGTTACCTTATTCAAAAACAAAAAGTACTTAATGGCCACTGCTTCGCAAGCGGGGATGTTTCTGATGGGGGAGAAAGAAACATTTGCGCAGCGCGTCCCGCGGCGTTGCGCGGGCAGTCTGGGGCCGTATAAATACGGGGGCACAGAGGGGTTCTGTTCTCACTCTGCCTGCCCTCGCCGCTGCGAGGGCAGCAGCTGCCCTACTTGTAGTCACCCCCCTTCTCCTTATTCATTAGGTCTTTACGGCCTCTTGGTCGGGTACATTGTGTTATGTGGTCTCTCGCTTATTAGTTACTCTTTGTGTCCTGCCTGTTATATCCTAGTGTTATATAATTACTACACATTTGCATTCGGCTTTAATTCTAGTACCAGTTAAGCTTTAGGTTTCTGCAGATTTAGTTTACATGTCACTAGGTTAAGGTCTCATACTTACTACGGGTGTACCTTTTAAGTTAAATCTAGTCCTCGGACTTGGAATTGTTACTGTTAATTCTTACTTTATATATCTACATGTTCTGCAGCATTTAATCTTCAATAAACTTTAAAGCCCCATACTGTCAGTATCTTTCTCCCCCTGATCAGAAAAATTCATTTTCATAGTTTCCTACCTAGTACTTTAAACTCGCACTGTATCTTGTGCTACCCAATCCCCCAATATATGTACCTAAGTCACACAACTTTAACATTGTAATCATTGCTATCACCTTATATCATGGTTGTTAAACTGAATGCATAATTTACTGCATTATATTTGTAAATAATCCTCATTATGCTCCAACGTCATACCTGTTGATAATTCTCAAATTGTATTTTACTTTAATGTACCTACTAATCTTTGTCAAATTTTCTTACAATGTATCTGAACTTTTTTCAATTTTTGAGTTTACCTACTGATAATTTTATCTGTTAGATTAAGGAAAACATCAATGCTATGTACTCTCATAAACCCACTTGTACGCTGCGCGTACTAGTGGGTTTACAAGATTGTAAATACCATGCTATGTATTCTCAAAACCCAATGTACCTTCTTGTATATAAATAAATAAAAAAATAAAAATATGTACCTTGTAAGAAAGTTCCCCATAGACATTCCAACGTCACATCGTTTTCTGTTAACGTTCCTATAACCCATTCTCTACGATTTCGAAGCTTACACTGTTGTATTTAATGTCATTTAGCGAAAGCATCATTATTTTGTAATAATTTATGAGTGTTTATTATAATTTACCGAGAAGCCCCAAGATTTCTCCTAAGGGCTAACCTTTAACAGGATGCACTGTAGAATAGTGGTTTAAATCATGGGTTGAAACAGACTAGAGACCTATTACAACCTTTGAAAAAATATTTCCAGTAAAAAGTAAACTATTTTAGTAGAGCATTCGTCCGTCAACAGCTATTATCTTCGCTGACGACTTCACCACAATCTTGATTAAGCCTTAAAATTATCCAAGACTAAAATTAGGCGCCATAGGTGAACTATAAATCTTGATGAATAATTTTAATAATAATAATTATTATTATTCATTTAACGTTGCCTCAAGTCAACTAGATTTTCTTGACTTTCTCGGAATATTGCTGCTCTCAGGCTGCTCAGAGGCAATCAAAGATGGCAATTAATTCGCTCCTTACGAGGAAATGATTTTGCTAAATTTGGAGCACTGTGCTCTGAGACCCACAAGGTCTTTGTGCCGTTCTGTAGAGGGTAGTGGACCCCTTACCCATCCTGTGGGTGGTAGTGGATCCCATACCCATCCTGTGGGTGGTAGTGGATCCCATACCCATCCTGTGAGCGGTAGTGGGCCCCTTACCCATCCTGTGGGAGGTAGTGGATCCCATACCCATCCTGTGGGTGGTAGTGGATCCCATACCCATCCTGTGGGTGGTAGTGGACCCCAAACCCATCCTGTGGGTGGTAGTGGACCCCATACCCATCCTGTGGGAGGTAGTGGATCCCATACCCATCCTGTGGGTGGTAGTGGATCCCATACCCATCCTGTGGGTGGTAGTGGACCCCAAACCCATCCTGTGGGTGGTAGTGGACCCCATACCCATCCTGTGGTCATTAATGGATCCCATACCCATCCTCTGGGCGGTAGTAGATCCCATACCCATCCTGTATGCAGTTGTAGGCCTCATATCCATCCTGTGAACAGTTGTAAGCCTCATACCCATCCTGTGAGCAGTTGTAGGCCTCATACCCCATCTTGTAAGTTGTAGGCCTCATACCCCATCCTGTGAGCAGTAGTTGTAGGCCTCATACCCCATCCTGTGAGCAGTAGTTGTAGGCCTCATACCTCATCCTGTGAGCAGTAGTTGTAGGCCTCATACCCCATCCTGTGAGCAGTAGTTGTAGGCCTCATACCCATCCTACAGGTGGTAGTGGACCCCATACCCTTCCTACAGATGGTAGTGGATCCCTTACTCATCCTGTGGATGGTAGTGGACCCTATACCCTTCCTACAGATGGTAGTTGACCCCTTACTCATCCTGTGGATGGTAGTGGACCCCATACCCACCCTGTGGGTGGTAGTGAACCCCTTACCCATCCTGTTGGTGGTAGCTGACCTCATACCCAACCTGTGGGTGTTAGTGGACCCCCATACCCATTCTGTGGGCAGCAGTGGACTCCATACCCATCCTCTGTCAGATGCAACAAGGTGCTGCTGGTGTGATCGTGCTGGTTCTTTCTATTGTTTACATTATATATCGCAGATAAAGAAGCACAACTACCCCTCTAGCATCCCAAATCCTCCACAAATATTTATAATAACTATGAAACCAAAACAATGACCAATATATTTTTGGAGAGCCAACAACTAAAAAATAAGACTTTTGCTGGTATTATTATTAAGGATTAGTTTCTTTTTAACAAAATTAGTATATGTACATAGCTACAAATTGAGCATTTAAGATGCAGAATGACCATGGCATAGAGAATATTAAGTTTGTGACAAGCATTTTTCACCCTTCTCTTTTGGTTACACGTGGCTTCCGATCATATAAAGGTCTTGTTTATTTTGTCAATTTTTATGCCTAGAGAGAGGTATAAATATAAATGCTAACCAGAGAAAGGAATGCTAAACACTGTATAGTTAATAAACCAGTAAAGACATATTTAATAGGGAGTAGTATTTTACTATTGTATAATTCCTCCACCTTGTTCTATGTTAATTTGAGATATATTTTTGTCATGCATACATTACATCAATCAATTCATCAAAATGCTTTGGCTTTGCACCCTAGAGAGGCCACTCCAGAATGACAACCAGAGCGCAACTCCATAGTCTCCTGAGACTGATGGATGCCTACTATTACTGTACTTCATACTGTCCTTTACACATTTATTAATAATGGATGCAGTGTCATGACCTTAACCTGATCATCTGCCACACTAAGCTGCTGCTACTACCACTTTATTCTCTTACCAGTGGCAACCTCTGGCATACAGATGTGGTGACTCATTTCACTCATTTGCACCCACTGTGGGTGCAAATACCTCTGTATAATCTAAAATAAAGGAGTGGGTAGACATTTTCCTAAATTCCTCCCCACTCAGGACTAATTTGGCCTTAGATCTGGGGGGTTGTGCTTGCCTGGGCCATAGAAAACACGTTGCATAGGCTGTATTTTATGGTGGGATTTAAAGCCTAGAGCTGGGTGCTAGAACTGATTAGGTTATATAGAACTAGAGGAATACCTGGCAGTGCCCTGGATAGTCTCTCCTCCCACTCCACTTATACCATCAGTTAGTCAAGCCACAGTGAACCACCTGATTTACCCCATCTCTATTCAAAGAAGTACGATGTTCCCAATTGCTAAACTCCTCATATATAAAGGGAAACAGAGTTTAAGCATCTTTATATACAACAAGCACATGGGGGGTATAAAGGAGCGGATAACTTTAGTCACAAGTCTATCAAGTTCTCCGATTCGTCTACCAACAAAGCCTTTTGGGATTGAACAAAGCACACAAGCCCCACCACCACACCAAGGTAGTGACAATGGGGGAAATTAACCACAACCCACCCCTCCTTTTATATAAAAAAAAAAAATAATTAATTGGAGAAATTAAAAATATTAATTACTATGCTACATTTAATTACACAATGCCTAGGAAACAATAAACAATTACTGTATAATGAAAAGTTAAGGTATCCAAATGTTTGTAAATAAAATGTTTTCTAAAAGTATCAATAAAATATAACAAAAATTTACATTTTTAGTTTTTACTAAAAAAAAAATCTATTTGTTCTGTTTACTGGTATTCAACTATAATGCATATAAACAATAATGTAGAGTGAATGCAATGATCAAACGTGGGCACCAAGCCTGGAAGACGGTATAGTTGAAATTCAAACTTACTTTCAAGTTACAAGCTGTGTATAATTCCTCAGAAACAGCTGCCTCATGCTAAAATGTTACAAAATGTTTAGTGAGATTTAACATGTACATATGCCAACAACCAATTATAGGCACAATGCAAAGTGGACGTGTAAGCATCTACACACTAAAATATTATTTGAACATCTGTTATTTCAAAAAGTTTGTTTAATAAAAAAAAATAAAAAAATACCATTTCATTAAATAAATATAATGATTTCAAGCAGAAATTACACCATATTCACACAGGAAGTAAAATTTCAGGTGAATTCTGTATGGCAGGAATTATTTCCACCAAACTGCATTTACTTTTATAGAATAATGTTTAATGGACCAATTTACAGGGTTCTAATTTAAGTTCAGTTTGGATCATTTTTTTCCCCCCCTTATTTAAACTAAATTAATTTATAGTGACTAGTTAGCAAATTGAGTTTTAATCTCATTAATCTTCACTTCAGCTAAAGTAAGGTACAGTACTTGCCCCTTTTGTGTGGCTTAGAAACTATTTAACCTTATATTTGATAAAATAGGGAGAGGAGAAGAGAAAAGGGAACAAAATTAGTGTGACAGAAAATGAAGAAAACAAAATAACATTAAAAATAAGATAGAGCAAGAAGAGAGAAAGTTGTGTAAGTGAAGACTGGATGACATAGTACCAAAAAATCAATGCAGTGTGTATGTGTTGGCATTGAATACAAATGAATGTACAGTACAGTACTATCATCATATGGCATACGATCCCTCTAATATATATTATTATTATAATTATTATTATTATTCTCACACAACTTAGAAACTAAAATTCATGCCAGGAAATATAATTACCGTGTAATATAAAATAAACTTATCATTGGTTTATATTGTACTCTAAAGTATGAGAGGCATCCTCAGAAAGTAGCCAAACCCCCCAAACTAAAATTAAAATTTTAGGATTTGGTGAGCTTAAGGAATAAACATGAATTTCTCTAACTAAACCAACTTACATGGTCAAACATTTGTAAAATTGTTATTAAGCACATCATCTTGTCTCTGGTCTTCCAAAACTCTTTCCTCCATACTATCCATGTTCCACAAGTCCTCAAAGTCTTGATCATATTCCTTAGAAGCAGAACTTACAATTAAGCTGCTGAGGTTATTTAATGCACTGGTGATTGAACTTTGCCCTTTGTGTACTGGTGATTGAACTGGAGTGTTTAGGCTAGAGGTGGGCTGCAGGGGCGTGTTACTTGTCCCAGCACCAGAACGAAGTTCGCAGGTAAACAGTGGGAAAACAGTGTCATGCTTCATATAGAGTGTGTGGTCAGCACTCATGGTTGATGTCGAGTTCAAAAGGTCTGTATATGAATCTCTACTCTTCTCTCCCAGTACACTATCTCCCACGCTTGGTGAATTATTAGCACCTTCATTGCATTTGCCTATATTTTCAGTGGTTGTAATAAAATTTCCATTCATGTCAAAATCAAAATGATAAAACTCGATAGGTTTATCTAAATCCTTGTACCTTTGATATTTATGTTTTTCATACAACATATGAGGTACATCCAAGTTCAAATCATTATCATTCAATTTTGTCTGACTTGGGAAATCCTGTTGAGTCAAACTCGAATCATACAACTCTTTAGGATCGTCAATAAGAGGATGTGGGTAATATGGGCTGTGAGGTACTTGATAATTATATTTGGGGGAAAAAATCATCTTAAAATCATTTGATTTTAAGCTGTTTTCATTTGCATCACAATTACCAACAGTTTGATTTGTCTTATTTTGGTATGTACGATATAGTCTCTTACAAACCACCACCTTGCCTGGGCATTTTTTTTGTTTCTTTTTCAAATAAGACCCTGTTAAATTCATAAGCTGGCAGGATTTGCTATTGGGATCAGTTACTACTTCTTCTACCCATTCATTATCATTTGATGCTGCATTTTTGTCATATTTTTCCCATTTAACAGCAGTACCTTTATTTAAAGAAGGAATCTCTTTACTACTTGTACATTCTTGAAGGTCATTTGAGGAATATCTATCTTTGTTGATTGGTAAAGTCGTTTTAGGAGGAAGTAATTCTTCTTGGCTTGATCTCTCAGAAAAAAATGATTCTAAATGTTCCTTTGTTTCTGAAGTAGTAGGCTGATGTGAAAACCATGGTAAACTCTTTCCTTTACAAATTTGTAGGAATTCTTGAATTTTGATACCAGAATTCACTTCTGGTTCTGTTTCCGCCCCCAAAATCTAAAATAGAAAAAAATTTAGTCATTGAATTTAATGAAATGCCTCTCTGATTGTAACTCTGGCACCACCAGAGCTTGTCTAAACACATCTCCCCTCCAAATCTCATCTGTCATCTATTAGGAGCCAGGATCAGGACTTGGTTTACTCTATGAGGTGAAGGGGGGGCCCAATTCATCTGAGGTTTCAGCCAGCCTGCCCTCTCAATCTGAAACCACACACCCAGTGCCTAAAAGCATGACAAGACAAAAGGACAAGACATAAGGAACGAGAGGCCGTCGGAAGGACTGCCAAAAGACCCCCCCAACGTCAAATAGCAGCTGTATATGAAACTTTAAGCCATCAGCAAACAACCACACAACCCCCAGATGAGTGAAAAATAGTTGGCTAGACCAAAACCATCATGTAGAGAGCCTGGGAGAGGTAAGTCTATGAACAAGGGATGTGAACAACAGGCAACAGAACTCCAACCACTACAGCACGATCTCAAAAAATATGAGCAAAGAATGCCCGACCAAAGCAGAGAAAGACACAGACACAAATAAACATCACCCCTCCCCAAAATTCAGAGAGAGATGCCCTGTCAAGGGTAAGTGAGATCAGGCAACAGTATAGCAGCAATGATTGAATAAAAGAGAGCCAAGATTATAAAAGAGAATACAGTACTAGTACCCGTGAAAACTTACACAAATGATGGATGTTGAAGACAGGAATAGGTGGAAGGACTGACTAGCAACAAAACAGTACTGCCACAAAGATAGAAACTAATGCATCACCAACAAGTCTGCCACCTGACTACAATGCAGGAGACAAGACATAAGGTTGCTATTGAGGCTAGATGCAATGGTGATCCTTGGGAAGAAACTGAGCCTGGGAAGAAAAATGGTCTGGAGAACGTTCGAGACGGGTTGGAAACTAGGACAAAACCAGTTTCTTAGGAGCTCGTAGAAGAAAGTGGTCTGTGAAGTGTCTCAATCCAAATAACACGGGAGACAGGAACTGAACCGGGAAAAAAGGGAAACATAAATTAATCTCCACCAAGAGAGGAAAAAATGCACTAGTGATGGGATGATAGTAAAATTTTGAACGATTCTGATACCAATGCTTTAAAAAAATATATGGTAGTTGGATACCTAATTTTTCTGAAAATGTTCATATTTTAGTTTGGGAAAATTAATGATTTACAGTATGAGCATGGTAAATGTATTAATAATGCAATAGATTGATTTAAGAAAAGAAAACAATTGGTAAATGCAGCTTAATCTTCTGGAAGAACCCTGAAAGTGAAAATATTCTATTATACATGTGAACATACACGCTTTAACTGTGTACTATACAATAAAATAAAATTTGTAATCTTATTTCAAATAAAGTTAATACTGCAACACTAGCTCAATTAAAGCAGAGTTAATTACTTTTTACTCAAAAAGTGATCCTTAATCTACAAAACACAAGAAAATATGAAACACTGAAAACATTCCAGTACCCATCACAGGTGTACATGTTATATATACATTTTACAATACAGTAAAATTATTTTTTTTTCAAATAAAATTACATTGCAATAGTAGTTAAATTTATATATAAAAAAACATTCAACCTACATAATGCAAGTTTAGGTGAATACAGTAGAAAAAAAATTATTCATATTTGAAACCCGAGACTCTTGAATTGCAATACAGTACTGTATAAAACATTAGCATCTCCCTTGTTTCTGCTTGCATTCTGTTTCTTTTTGGTGAGTATAATACTTGACGGTTCATGATCATTATTTGAACAATTTTAATTATTAATTGAAATGAAAAATTTCTTTTGTTATTAAATGTTAAAAGAATCATTTTAACAACTGGAAATCACGATAAATTTCTCTCAATTCCAATACTGATTACTGAAAAATACTAATTTCTTCTAACTCTTGATACCAATTAATTGTCCCATAAGTAAAATGCACTTATTGGAAATGCTGTGTGATTCAAGGCACAATATGGGAGAACGCAATGCAATGTCCAGACAGGAGAGAGATAAACTTAAGCACCAGTAAGGCCTCCATAAACACCAGCACCCAAAAGGCAGGAGGCTGCAAGTGAGGAGGCCACTGACTCTGATTGATTCTTGAGGTTATCTTGAGATGATTTCGGGGCTTTAGTGTCCCCGCGGCCCGGTCCTCGACCAGGCCTCCACCCCTAGGAAGCAGCCCGTGACAGCTGACTAACTCCCAGGTACCTATTTACTGCTAGGTAACAGGGGCATTCAGGGTGAAAGAAACTTTGCCCATTTGTTTCTGCCTCGTGCGGGAATCGAACCCGCGCCACAGAATTACGAGTCCTGCGCTCTATCCACCAGGCTACGAGGCCCCTCGTAGTAGCCCTGATACTAGTAGAGCCAGAGACAAAACCCCAACAGAGGGCTGACACAGCAACAACTTGAGCACCAAAGGAGGGCATAAACAACCAACAGAACCTGCTTGCTGCTGACACGTGTGCCAATGCTTATTCGTGAACTTGTATCACTTTACTAGAACTTTGGGAGTAAAGAAGATTGGTGCTTATAAGTAAATTCACAGTTCTAAAGATGCTTTATATAAGGGATCATTTACCTGATTTACTATTTTTGTCGATACACAATTAACCATTGTGCTGGGACCTGAATCCCTAGATATAAAAAATCGTCTTGGTTCATGGCATGACTTGCATCAGTGGATGATTTAACATCTGGGTTACTAGGTTTCTAGTCCATTTACCTCATGTCAGGAGTCTAAAAGTTTTAGCAATGAATATGTCGCAGGATTATTTAGTGATTCTAGTGATGATCATGACATTAGTGAGGACAATATCACATCACTGCCTGAGGGAGTGATAATTATTGACGAAGCGAATGAGACTGGTGACAAATTCTTTAGTGGGATTGAGGACCATGGTTAGGATGCACTGTCCAGCAAACGGTGGTACAACTAAGCCATAATACCGGCCACAGCTTATCACCACCACCCCCATTACCAACTGTGCCTCTGCGAGATTCGTCATTGTCTGGTGTACATACCAACCATACAAACTTATGTACAAACCATATCAACGGTTACGTCTTAAGTTGAATGGAACCAAGGTTTGCCAGAATTTTTTTACCAGACACCAAAATTTCCACTGCAACTATCATTCCTAAGGATTATGTTCTGTTGAATTAAAAGTGCATTGTATGTCAGTCAAAATCTTGATATGCATTGCACACAGACTAGATTGTGGTACCATGATATAACAAATACATCTCCTCTTACTATACATGCCATAGGTTTTTCTATAAATGAATTACTCGTATTTGTATTTTAAAATTGATTTTGAACACAAACTAAACATGTGGCCGGATACCAGCAACCTTACCATTTGCTACAGTAGTGCCGGTGCCATATATTGTATTGTTTTCCTGATTGTGGGTTCTCAGACGTTATAAAAGGCATGCAGCATATAATGTATAACCTATGGCACCAGTAGCAGAGCATGTCCAGAAAGGTGCCCCTCACAAGCTCAAGGCTTGTTTATTGAAGGGACATTAAATAAAGATCTGATAATACAGTCCTAAATGGAACCTCTTCACTTTGTGTGCTACTCTTTCCCACCTGATCTGCCTCTCCCCCGAGCCCTTCTCATCTTTCATGACGCTGCCCTCTGCTCTTAAAGAACCTTTATTCTTATAATAGGTCCTGTAGTATTGTGGTCTACATTCTCGACTGAAATGGTTGGACACATCTCCTTTCACCGATGCCGCCCAACCACTTGGGCTGGATGATCTCAATTCATGCAGGCCGGCGTTCAATCCCCGACTGTACCATTCCTTTCCCCCCGTCCCATCCCAGATCCTTATCCTGACCCCTTCCAAGTACTATAAGGTTGTAATGACTTGGCACTTTCCCGATAACTCCCCTTTCACCTGATGCTCCTGTTCACCTAGCAGTAAATAGGCAGCCTGTTCTGATTTGCCACAACATACAAAGTACAAAGTACTAACCTATCAAGAAATGCATGAACCTAAGACACCAACCTAACCTAACCAACACACAAAACGTGGATTTTTGTAAACTGCTACTTTTTGTAGTACTTTGGGAACCATAATGTACAAAATGAGATGTACTAGTTGAGAGGATGGGTTAAAATAGGTACTCGGGAGTTAGGCATCTGTTGTGGGTTGCATCTTGGAAAAAGGTCAATAGTTCAATCCTAAAGGAACCTCATCATACCTAAAGTACTGTACAGGCATCCTGTCTTCACGCAATAGGAATAAAAAAAAAAAATATATATATATTGTTTTTTAATCACTTTCTTATTTGGTCTTTCCTTTACAGATCATTCATTAACAAAAAGGCATTAGTTATGCATCACACTCCTCCTAAGAAGAAAAAAGGTTACCTCTTTAAACTGGGATAACAATGAAGTGTTGTATATGTAGGTTTTCACATGACTTGTGGTCTTGTTCAACGTCTCATAGAGAGAAACACCAGCCTGATCCTTGGCACCTTCTTCTCCAGTGTTTACTTCATCTTCTATCTCTTCATCCAGAATCTCCACCAGCTCCAATTTGCCCTTTTCATTTTCATTAGGTATTACAGTAAAACCTAGAATTAGAGAGAGTAATGAAAATTATCATCATATCTGACATTTATAAAAATAACAAATGAACAAAACAAAAATCAGGTACTGAATAATCACACTGTTTACATGAAAGCACTTATTAGTAGGCCTACACTTGATTGCCCCTAAGGCTATAGACCCTACTGATTCCTCTGGTTGGGTTCGAGTGCAATAATGACACGTCTACATGCTGCAATGGAGGCCATAAAAACCTTTTAAAACCTTAAGTGCTAAAACCTGGAAGACTCTGAATAACAATAAATTCAACCCAAAATGCACTTAAATATAATTCAAAAGCCTTTCTAAGTGCTATCTTCTGTCATAGGGGCTGCCAGGCAACACTACACATGAATGGCCCCCCCCAGGTTACTACATATGACCGCACCAACACCCAAGAAAGCAAAGTAACTCATAGACTTCAGGCACTCTGAGGAAAATTTCTCACACTGATGTACTGGAGTATCGGCTAATATTGCAAGGTTCACAGACAATCCAACCACCACGCTGCAGATCCCCTAGGATTTTGCAGCGTGGTGGTTGGAACTAATCCGCTAGCAAGTCCTATGCAACCTAAATTGTAAGCAATTGTCTAAAAACTTTCTTGAAAAATTCAAAGTAGTAAAGAAAAAATAAAACCGAAAAAAATATTGTCTACTAAATACTTTTAAGACCTGTAATTCAAATCAAGTCTATCCAGCACATCAACTGGTACTTGAGAATATATTAATACAGTTTTCTGTAGTTTTATCAACTCATTATTGCTGCAGCTAAAATACTGTGGAAGAATTCTCCTTATAAGGGGGTGGGGTAGTGTTTACATTGCCCAATTTCCAGAAGCTTCACATTGCAACCCTATATACATGGTTAATCACTTCTTAAAGGTGAAAGTCAATCAAAAGAAGTGTTCTCAAGCTTCATGGAAACGATGCACAAACTGACAGAAGGCCGAGAAAAATATAGCAGCATTGAATGTGATGAAGTAACACTTTCTGGTGTTACCAGAGCTCCAGTGGCTTCCTGAAGCTATCTTGCTAAGATTGATCCACACTAAAAGGTCACATCAGTTGTGGATGTTCTGTTTGACCTACTGGGGACCAGAGATCATTCACCAAGGAGCAGGGAGAGGGGTGATAATCTGCCACCCAAGAAAAACCCTCCAGAAAGTCAGTGAAGCTCAACAGACAACTGGAGGGTTTATAAGAAACTAAGTTTCACAACTGCCAAACAACTCTGCAAACACTTTGCAGAGAACAAGGGATTCACTAACGAGTTTCGAACTAGTTTGAGTGAATCCCTTGTTCTATGTGAATCGTCTGCAGAGTTGGTTAGCTGTTTAGAAGCTTCAGTTTTGGTAAGTTTTCCAGTTGCCTGTAAAGCTTCGCTAACTTCCCGGAGGCTTTTTTTTCAGTAGGGTGGCTTGTCACCTGCTCCCTGTGCCTCTGAGGGAGGGAAGGGATCAGGTGCCAGATTCACGAAGCAATTACACAAGCACTTACGAACCTGTCCATCTTTTCTCAATCTCTGGCGGATTTGTTTACAATTATTAAACAGTTAATGAACTCCAAAGCACCAGGAGGCTGTTTATAACAATAACAGTTGATTGGAAAGTTTTCATGCTTGTAAACTGTTAATTAAATATAACCAAAGACGTCAAAGATTGTGGAAAGATGTATATGTTCATAAGTACTCGCGTAACTGCCTCGTGAATCCGGGTCCAGGCTCTGGTCCCTGGTAGGCCAAATACAAGTACCACATCTGATGAGGCCTTTTAGTGGAACAATCTCAGCAAGATAGCTTCAGGAAACAACTACTGAGAATCCTCCATTCAAGTCTCTTATCATAACAGGATAACTAAATAACAAATTGTATTGTAATAATACACAAGTTAGCTACAGTAATGTACAACATTGCAGAAAGCCAGAGCAAGTTGAAACATTTACAGTATATAATTTTACCTAATATTTTCCAAGCGGCAATGAAGTTTTTCTCACATGTTTTGGATAAAGTGAGATGCTTCATTGAGGAAACATGCTTTTCTAAACTGAATTTAGAATTCAATGAAGCACCACATGGTTGACAGATGTAAAACTCTTTAACAGGTGGACCTCCTCTCTGAAAATTCAAAATAAAGGATTGTCAATAATTAAAACTTCTATTCATAATAATAATAATAATAATAATAATAATAATAATAATAATAATAATAATAAAAGCAATAATAACATTTATTTAAACACAATATAAACTGAGAAAATTCACAGGAGCTGTGAATTTTTTTTAGGACATTTACAATCTACATTTAGGACACTTATTATTTTTTCATTACAATAGTATATAATATGGTGGCAGAAGTGAGTTATAACTAATTAGAAAAAGGATGAATAATTCACATATATTAGATTCCCTAGTTATTTTGTGTCGGTTTTACTCTGTTTTCAAGTTGATCTCAGATTGCTATGCTCCCCTCACCTTTTCCACACACACATCAGATTTTGGTTCTGGTGTTCGGTAAGACTGTGCAAGTTCAGAGGCTTGATAGTTTTGTGGTCGTTTGTATAACACCAGAGTCAATGCACCCAGGAGTTACTGAGGGTAAACTCCGATATGGCACGGCAAACAAAGAGTTTAAAGAAAATTTAAGAACTCGCCATGACCATAGAAAACTTGCCTGTCTTTCTGATTTTGAGTGTTTGCGTTTGATGTGGTTGATGAGAGTTTTTTCATTTCTAAAAACTTTCTTGCATACGGTACATTCATGACGTATTGCATTAAATACATCCTTATTATAATTCTGCCACAATCTGCAAGTAAAATCACAAATGCAATAAGGTTAATTAATAATAATAATACAAATAAATTTGATTTATAAGACATACAAAGGATCAGATTACAGGGGTTACTGAGTATTGTAAGAAGAGTATTTGCATATTTTATAAACACAATAATTAAGCACAATATTTTAGGCATAATTTGAGTGAACTGAGTCTTACATTTATTAGGTTAATACTAATACTATATGAGAAGTAAGCTAATATGCAGCAAATGATGTACAGTTTTTAATGTGAAACTTAATGAAAAAAGACACAGACTACTTTCTTTATGTTCTTTTTTATTTGACTAGCAAATTTTTAAGTATATAATGTGGTTCTCGTATTGAAAAGTTTGGAGACCCCTGGTCTAGAGTAGCACATGAATGATGCAGTGTGTAAAATTGCCAAAAGAACAGTACTGAACAAGAAATCTAGACTGTGTTAAGGCCAAACATTCTGACGTGTTTGAATATAGAGTTAGTGACTGTATTTAGGCTTGTGGATTCACCAATTAGTAGGCATCCATCAGTCTCAGGAGACTATTGAGTTGCTCTCTGGATGTTGGTCTGTAGTGGCCTCTCCAGGGATAAAAGCCAGGATGGGTTGATATGGGGATGAAACTGTTACCCAAGCAGTAGGCCCCGCCCCCCACCCCTCTCCACGGCGCCGAAAGTCTCCAATGGAAAGGCAAACGCCAATATGATTGGTTCCAGCGCCGTCGCAGGAACTGTCAGAATGAGGTTGAAGGCAACAACGAACTGCCCCAGGGGGCTCCAGCTCCGGAGTTTACCTAGAAGTTCGTAAAAGAAAGCACAGGGACTACAAGCCTGGAGACAGCCGTGGTCGGGGCCGGAGAAGAACCACCCCAGCAAGGGGCAAGAACGACCCCAGCCTCCTGAAATAGAGCCTGGGCCGCACAAGCCCCAGAAGGTGGACTTCCGAGCTCCGCACCTACGGGTTCCAGACAGAGATCATCACAGTCGCCTTTCACCCAAGGCCGGCTTCCTTCAAGACCAAACAGAAGGAAGAGTAATAATTATTAATTACAACAATTATTATTATAATAAAAATTAATTAATAATTATTACTCTTCCTATTATTACTCGTTCGTAATAATAATGATATTATTATTATTACAAACTGATTAATCTAGTTATTAAAAAACATTTTACTTCTGCAACTGCAGACTAAACAAGCACTGCTACTAAGTATTGTGTGTTGTAACAAAAACTTTGCATCACTCACCTAATAGTGAAGCCATCCTTCTTAATAACATCTAGAGATGTATGCTGTACTTTATCGCTGCCACTAGTACCTTTTTTCTTCCGAGACCTATTCTTTTTCACGGGCTGAAAAGAACACAGTTTTGTCTTCCGAGGTGACGCATTACTTCTGTCCCTTAACAGAGTATGCTTCCTTGTTGGAGCTGGAGTGTCTTCACCTATGAGGTGGTGGTTGTGCATGCCACCGAAAGACTGAGAAACAGACTTTTTACTGCTAGGTTTGGTAGTGTCCGAGATACTGTTAACTGGACTGTTACTGCTGACTGACTTTAATCTGTCTGCAATATGAAAAGTAATGTAATCGAGGGATTTGGTAGAAGGTATTCTGCTCTTTTGACTAACTTGTCTGCCATTTTGAGGATCACTTCCACTTAACATGATCTTACTTAACCATTCACTTTCTTCACCAAAAAACATTTCAAGTTTTGTTTTAATTTTCTCAAAATCAAATACTGGTACCCTTCTAATTTCATGTGAATTACTACAGCAAATTACTGACACACCATTCTGATTCACATTTGTTTGCTTATTACATGTATTTTCAGGAGAGAATTCTGCATGTGTTTGTGCATTACCAGACCCGAGAGAGCATTTCTGTACCTTCATTATGTGAGCTGTGCGTGCCGACTGACGTGTGTCCTTACTGCTCTTCCTCCAACAGCATTTTTTTCCATCATCTTGATATTTAGATTTATCATCATCAAAATCATCATCAAATCCATTATACAAAGTCAGCCCTTGCACATCGTTTTCCTTAATTTTTTCTAAAATAACCACTGGCTGAAACATATGATCAACAACTTCTGGAAAAGTATTGACAACACTAGCCTGGTACTTCTTTCGTTCCATTTGGATATCTGCTACCCGTTTATCACGCATTAAAGATCTTTTTTTGTTTCTGACATAACTGGAACACCTACCAAACTCTGAAGGCCTTTCTGTTCGACTCAATTCACAAACGTCAACATCACTTGAATCATGCGATCTGTAACAAGCAGGGTTTGAATAAGGTACAGTCAAGATACTTTTCTCTGGAAGATCGTGTTTTGGTGTGCTACAACATTCTGGGCTTCCAAGGGAGAAGTTAATTTGTCCCAAATTTTGCTGCTGACTATCAGAAGTCATAGATTCAGTAGGTGAAGTACCTATGTAAACATTGGAACTTTTCTTTTTGCATTTAATTTTGATGAAGTCCTTGTTAGGCAACTGTATGAACACGGCAAGTGGCATTTTACCTTCAGAACTAGGACAATCTTCTTTAAATACATAAAGTGGCATTCCTTCTGCTTCTCGGAGAAAAATTCCAGCATCGAAAGTTCGTTGAAATGTTAATGCATTCTTATTGTTAAGACTTGGCGGTATAATGGTGCCAGCCGTCATATTTTCAAAACATTCCTTCCATGGCAAAACATCATATACATTTACGTCTTTCGTTTCTAAATTGCACGAATAATCAAAGCATCCCTCTGTATTCGAGCCAAAACTTGTAATGGGTAATACATGCCAACTTAACTGCAACCCTTCCTTGGAATGCAAGTCAACACTTGCTGCTTCATTTGTTCTTTCACAGCCACTTGTTTTCATTCTATTATCTGAATGCTTCCCTCTCTCACCAAGTGGCATTTTTTTGGGTTTCATTTCATCACTATTTCTATTATCAATATCTGAAGAAACATCAGAATATATACTTACTCTTGGGAAACTTTTCCCATTAGTCTGCTCTTTTGTACCACACACTGACTCCCCGTCATATAAGCAAATGAATTTAGATATCTCAAGATGGATACCGTTAGTCATACAGTCACTGCTTTTTACCATTTTAACATTACATTCGTGATTTTTAACTTTCTTTTTTAGATATTTTCTTTGGCATTTTCCTACAATTTTCACTTCCTTTCTAGTAATCTTGCAAGTTTTCTTAAAAGCAGCATTTAAGATTAGCACCTTCGTTGGTTAACGAACTTGACTGACGATGATCCTACACACTTCATGGAATCCTACATTCCAGCTGAAAGGAAGAAAAGCAAAATTCAAATGGTCAGCAAAATATTATCCCAAAGTTTCATGTAGTATGTCTTTTTCATACAGTACTGTATTACTCATTCGTCCCATTCACACATGGTAGCTGTACATGGGGGTTCAACTATCAGTGCCAGAAACTCATCATCCAGCCTGTTCTCCTGAGCATTCCCAACATCTCTAAACTGTTGTACTAAAGTACCCGAACCTAAAAAACCCGAGGACCCACGAACAGAAAATGAAATATTATGTCAATTTTGTCAGCAGCTACCATTTTTATGTACATCACTTTTTGGTCATGGGTGAAAATTTTTAAAATGCAATGTGCTATTAGAACAGGTTGCATCACCACCCAAATCATAACATATTCTATAATGATACAGCATCGTCAGTCTAGTTCCAACTCTCATACCAACCTCTACAAGCCTCGCTACAGAGCAGACAGCCAATCCTGGCTTTATTCGAGCCCTCCACTTGCCCTCATTCGAGCTCTCTGCTCCCACTCTCATTACGCGCTTTCCGCCCCCCACCTCGCTCAAGTTCTCTGCTCTTGGCTCCAGGCATTGCACAAGCTTTCTGCTTTCCGCCATATTCACCAACATGTCTTGACTCAGCCAGCAGCACATAAAAGGCATCCTCGTCTTAAGCTATCACAACATAACTCTCCAGGTATGACACCATCATACCATTTCTAACATTCAACTGCTTTAACCAAGCTATAAAAACACATAACAAGCATCCTCGTCTCAACCTATCACACTATTTCTAACATCTAACTGTTGTAACCAAACTATATAAAATAAACATCAAAATACACCATCCAACTTTGGGTGTTGTCACCCAAAATCGTGCATGTTACACCCTTATAAAACAAATCAGCCATGCCCTGTATAGTTCATTCAAGCTCGGACACACCGTACTCGCTTGAATGAAATCTTTAAAATAATAAATAAATCATTTGATTGAATGAAACCTACAATGACTTTCATTAAGCAATATACAGTACATGTACTGCAATTTTTAATGAAATTTTAAAACTAAAAATTGGGACAAAGTGAACAGCATCAAAACTATTTTGTAAATTATTGAGTATAGTACAGTGGCCTACATTGCTAACTCAAAACTAAGCATTTGGTCAATGTTTCCATTCACCTGAAGCCTCTGTTCACCTAGTAAATAACAGGTACCCTAAAGGTTAGGCAAGTGATGAGGGGTTACATCCTGGAGAACATCAATAATAGACCCCATGGAGATGTTGATAGGCTTAACATATTCCCTGTCCCCAACGATGGGAAATTACTAATGCTTTAGTGTTCTAATGATGCTACAATGCATCATCTTGAGGTTATCTTGAGGTTATCTCGAGATGATTTCGGGGCTTTAGTATCCCCGCGGCCCGGTCCTCGACCAGGCCTCCACTCCCAGGAAGCAGCCCATGACAGCTGACTAACACCCAGGTACCTATTTTTCTGCTAGGTAACAGGGGCATAGGGTGAAAGAAACTCTGCCCATTGTTTCTCGCCGGCGCCCAGGATCGAACCCGGGACCACAGGATCACAAGTCCAGCATGCTGTCCGGTCGGCCGACCGGCTCCCAAAATCCTCCCTCTGAAAATTTCCAAAATTCAATTTTATTAATTTGTCATTATTTTTTGGCATGGCGTGGAATTAGATTATCAGAGGACCAACCAAAGTATCAAGAGGACCATCAAGAGATCACCTTGGTCAACTACCTTTCACTCAAATAATGCTCTGCTTGCAAATATTTTCACACTGCTTTGCAAATTATCTGCCAGAAAAATATAAAAGGTATACTATTAAGTGTTTTGTTTTACAGTGATAGATAAATTATGTGTGCACAGTTCCAAATTTGTATTCCTATTTATGTAGAACATTAAACAAGGAATATTGGAAAATATATGAATGTTCATAAACATTCATTTATTCAGTTCCATCAGGCATAATCTATTATCAAAATACATTGTGTTTTGCATCTATACTCTAAAAAATTCATTTGCAAACATTTTGACACCAAATTTATAGTTATAACCTAAACACTACCTAAGAAAAAGTATAAACATTTTAAGCATTACTGAGCACTAAGCAGAACCTTGGGATGCCCAGAACGCTTATGGTTAGGTACGCATCGATGAGCCGGAACGTTTAAATAAATAAAATATAAATAAATAAATAAATAAATAAATGTTTATTCATGTAAGGTACATACATACAAGAGATTTTACAAAAATTGATAGATTTATAGATAGAGCTAGGACATACAATGCCTAAAGCCACTATTACTCAAAGCGTTTCGGGCAGGAAAAACATTAATGACTAAAACTTAATACTAATTGAAAATAAAATGTTACTACAGTGCTTTTATGGCTACTTAGCTTTGCTGGCATATTCATACTATTTTGAAATCTAAGAACTTGATTCAAGAATATGAAGAATTATAACATTTCTTAGAGATACCATAGTGTATCAGTAGAGGATCTGTGTTCACATGTGTCATGTGTAATATCAATGGGTTTCTATATCAGTCACAAATTTTTCAATGATTTGGAAACATAAATTTCCAAGAAATCACAGTTTCAACATAAAATAATTTAGCCTAAGTTATACCTGCTCCAATGAATACTGAAACAAAGCAATGAAGGCAGATACATATACAACAACTTCATCTCATTTGGTGTCAAGAGGCAATCTGATTCTTGTCCAGCTGCTGACAGTGCCAGAGGCAGCTTTATTAATACCCATCAGCTGACAGTGCCAGAGACATTTACTGGTGAACAGCAGCTGACAGTGCCAGAGGTAGCCTGACCACTGTCCAGCAGCTGACATACCCAGCTAAGGCAGGCTAAGGGGGTCACCTGACAACCATTGTGACTCCGGCCAGTGTTCGAAATGTTCGCCAAGACGCCACACGGCCTACTTTTTTTTGTTTGTTTGTTTTGGCACCCGTTTGAAACCATCTCACATGGCGTCTGGGGGAAGAGTTCACGTGGGTGGCCCACTATCATGGCTCTCCCAGCTTGACACGCCTGCTCCATGCCCTGGCACCCTCCCCAGGCACCTTAATGTTACACATACTCACCCTCCAATGTGCTAAAATAACGGTGTATTTAATTAAAGAGTCAATAACAGAGACCCATAACAGCCGACCCTCGTAGTGGCGACGTCCGACGCTCTGCTTAACTCTCCACATTATGTTGTTCTCTGAATATTTATATCATAAAACTACAAATTGTACACTTAACAAACAAATATATTTGCGATATTATTTTTATTGCTTCATTAAGCATTATTTGTTGTTAAAATCTGTGAGGGATGTTTTATATAATGAAATAGGCCTATGAAATTCGTTAGAAATGCAAAAATACTATTTTGTTTGGTTTGCTTCAATTTGCCTGAGGGCCGGCATCTGCAATGGACACGACAGGGTCAGGCGGCTTAAATCCTCATAGATTTCCATTTTTTTGTACAGTATTAATAAGAAGCTTAGGTACACACACAGCAATGTTCTCCTACCCTACCAGCTGAATCTTAAACTGACATGATAATAATAATAATAATAATAATAATAATAATAATAATAATAATAATAATAATAATAATAATAATTTCATTTAGACAAAGTACATTTTTGTATTAACAATCTTAGGTATACACAGCAATGTGCTGCTACCCTCTTCTATATGAAAGGTTACATATAAAAAAAACTAGCGATATATGAAGTGTATGAAGCAAATGTATGAAGTGTATGAAGCAATTTCAGGGCTCAAAGTAGTCTGAAATTGGATTGGAAAGGAGCATTCCAATCTCTGCTGTAAAAGCCGCAATATTTCAGGAAATTTGGGAAGACAGGAAAGCAGTTACTGACAATAATCGCTACTGAAAGCACGAGTATATCGAGCTATGACATGTTCAGAGGGAATTATCAGCGGAAAGCACCAAGTCATTGCGACTATATAGCATTTGGTTAAGGATTTGGGATGGGACGGGGAAAAGGAATGGTGCCCAACCACTTGAACGGTCGGGAATTGAACGCCGACCTGCATGGAGCGAGACCGTCGCTCTACCGTCCAGTCCAAGTAGTTGGACTGACAAATTCAGAACCGATAATTATATGTAAGGACAGCATAAAACATTCACTAGACAATGTGATATTGTAATTGCCAGAATTAGGCTGGGATAGCGATATCTATGGCAGGTGGCTGCAGGTAATGAATCCCCCAATGGTGAACATTCCAGTTGTAAATTATGTGAATAAGTGCTGGGACATATTCTCCAACACTATCTATGATTCCCCTGTTATCAGTGACTTCAGACCAAATGGTATGAGGCACTTTGAGCTCTGTAATTACTTCATACATTCAGGAATATTGGAAGATATTCTTGTGCTATACCCAGATTTTGCTAGTGGAGGCTAATAGATCAGCCTTACATTTCATGTTCTCTCCTGATTCCATGTATGACTGGCCACCCTATGAGGTGGGGAATGTTGGAGGGGCTTGTAGCTGGTTTTTGATCTACACTGTGTGGTCTTTCATACAGAATAGGGTAGCAGCACATTGCTGTGTATACCTAAGCTTGTTAAAAACACAAAAACCTCATACCATTTGATCTGAAATCAATGATAACAAGGCTATCACAGATATATTGTTGCAGAATATACGGCTAGCCTCAAACAAATCTTGCTGGTTCGATGAAAATTTAAACCATCCAAGAAATTAGAAATTGTGTTAAATTGACTACCAATAACGTTTTTTTTCAACGATCTAAAATTTATCTTTAAAAAGGACACATCGATATAATATACATACAGTGTGTATAATAGGCATTTATTATATATTCTTTTAATAACAGATAATTTTGTTGATTTGAAGAAAATATTCATATAAATAAATGAACCCTCAATGCTGTGTAGCCTATTACTTGTTACACCTGCAAGCATTCAATAGCAAGCTCTCTCGGGAAATCTTGTGTCCATTGGATGTCATTTCGATGGCATTACACAACTCGTAAGGCACACATTCAATATTTGTGAAAGATAGTGAACGGCATGAACAAGGGAGATTAAGGTGTGAAATTAATGTCATGTTCGCATTTTGGCTCCATTAGAGCGAGTCTCGCGTCTCTCGAATGTCTTTTTGGTTAAAGTGGCATGCCTTGTCCTTGCTGTGTCATGCCTATCCACTTCTGTGGCATGCTTTTCCCCCTTGGTGTTACATGCATTACCCTGTTGTGGCATACCTGTAATGTGCTGTGAGCGGGCTGTGTTCGGCATGCTTCTGCTAAGTTTACTGCCGCGTACATTTTCCAGCTATGACATTCCTTAAACGCATCACGGTATATATTTCCCCTTGATGTGGCATGTTTCTCCTTGCTGTATCATGCTTTCCACATGCTGTGTTATGCATAGGCACTATCGTGGCATGCCTCCCCCCTGCTACAGCATATGCCATTCCCTGAAGTCGCATCCCTTCCACTTGATGTGGCATGCATAGCCACTGTCATGGCATACTTCCCACTTAATGTGGCATGCTTCCCACTTTATATGGCAAAATCATAAACAAATATATAAGGGCAAAAGCTAGTGAAGCTATATTGCAAGAAATGGCTGTAACCTAGGCCTATTCAGAAAAAATGCGAACCTAGCCTTCATAGTTTTTGTCGTTATGGTAATAACCATCGCTACAGTAATGTGAAGTAGTTACGGATATTGTTACAGTTAGTAACAAGTTCGTTAATTATTATTGCACCATGCTTAGCAAAACTGGAATGGGCTGAAATATTTTAGTTTTGACAAATTTTTCCCTCTGCAATAGAACTCATGTTCGGGTTATCTATTCGGGCAACAGTGACAAATAAATTCACGCGTTTTTTTGTTGTTAGATAATTGTTTGTAAAGATATATAAGGGAAGACAGGGCGTGTTGTAGGACTCTGCAGTGGGCGGGGAAAATATGGGCGGGAAAAAATGGGCGGGAAGGATATAAGGCGGGAAGGGCGGCGCCCACCAGCAGTCTACGGTGAGCTACAGCAGGGGTCACACATGCTGCCGGGACCTCTCATTTTTATCACTTGTTTTTTTGTTATTAAGGTAAGAGTTACATGTTTATGTGGTGTAGTGAAATGATATTATGTGAATAAGTATAATTCAATGTTTTAGGTGAAATGAACTACAAGCAATGACAGGTGATTGGATTTTTTTGTGAGTAAGGCTTATATGTTAGTATATGTGATGTATTACCTCTCTTTCCCCCCCCCTGTATCAGCCTCCCTTATCACGCCCACATCACCCCCTCATCACGCCCACATCACGCCCTCACCCCACCCACATTACCGTTCCATCAGCGGACGCCCAATACTGCGCCTGTCTTACGGGCTCACCATAGCCCGTGCTACATGGACACTTCGTCCTGAGTAGCTAAATCTGAAACGACATACTGCACCTGGCAGTAAGTGAAGAACTGGTGTAGGATGAACGGTGAACATGTTCTAGAAGAACAATACCGCCCAACAATCTAATATTTGATGCCTTAATCCTGGAACATTTATTGGAACAACCTATAAAATGGCGGAGGTCCGAGATCTTGTCAGTACAATGTCATCTTTATTGTTACAGAATTGTCTCTTCTTAACAATTATTTACCTTAGGCAAACATTTACATTCAATATAAAGTTATTTATTTTTAATATCTACCTATTTGAGATTTATTATGTTCAAGCAAATGCCTTAAATATGTCATTACGAGGTTTGGTAGCCAATATATTTTAATTCTTAAAAATTTGCTTTCCAGATTGTCTCTTCTTTGTGTAGTCTACTCAACCATTGGAAGACAAATAGAGGACAAACTTCAAGAAGATAGTGAAGACAGACAATGAAAGGATTCAAAGACAGGTATGAGAGGGATCCACTACTGTTAGTCCACGTTTATGATATTGGAGCTGGTGCTCAGTTTACGGGCTCACCATAGCCCGTGCTACTTGGAACTTGTTCCGAGTAGCTGAATCTATAACAACAACATGATGCTCAATTCCTACAAAAAAAAAAACGGTTGGTATAGGTGAGTACACGATCAACACTTTGTTGGTTTAAGGGCCATTTTAAGTGTGACACAATTTTCTGTACTATACATATATTGTAATCATTATATTGTTGGTTGTACTTCAAATAATGTTTTTTTTCAGTTCTTCAGTTTACGATTTTTTCTAGAGTGAACAGTATTAAATAAAACTGTTTGCTATATTTTCTACGTGGAAATCTTAAAACTCGTTTGGTAGGCCTATAATACTTTGAAACCATTTATTTTTTGCGAAATATCTTACCTATTATATCTTGCATCTTTTCTTTTGGCTTTCTGAAGAATGCTTTTCCCCGGTTAGTCCTGGGGAAATATACCGAAATTTGTCTTGTTATAATAATAATATTTATATATTTATGTAATAATATTTATATATTTATGTAATAATATTTATATATTTATGTAATAATATTTATATATTTATGTAATAATATGTATACATTTATGTATTTACCTAAAGTAGCCTAGGGTTTTCTGGTAAATTTCTTTGCCCTGAATAGTCCCGGGGCAGGCCTTTACCCCCCAGGTAGTAGTCCTGGGGCATGCCTCTACCCTGGGCAGGACTGGGGCATGCCTCTACCCTGGGTAGTACTGGGGTATGCCTATACCCTGGGTAGTACTGGGGCATGCCTCTACCCTGGGTAGGACTGGGGCATGCCTATACCCTGGGCAGGACTGGGGTATGCCTCTACCCTGGGTAGTACTGGGGTATGCCTATACCCTGGGTAGGACTGGGGCATGCCTCTACCCTGGGTAGTACTGGGGCATGCCTCTACCCTGGGTAGGACTGGGGCATGCCTATACCCTGGGTAGGACTGGGGTATGCCTCTACCCTGGGTAGTACTGTGGTATGCCTATACCCTGGGTAGGACTGGGGCATGCCTATACCCTGGGTAGTACTGGGGCATGCCTCTACCCTGGGTAGGACTGGGGCATGCCTATACCCTGGGTAGGACTGGGGCATGCCTATACCCTGGGTAGGACTGGGGCATGCCTATACCCTGGGTAGGACTGGGGCATGCCTATACCCTGGGTAGTACTGGGGTATGCCTATACCCTGGGTAGGACTGGGGCATGCCTCTACCCTGGGTAGTACTGGGGTATGCCTATACCCTGGGTAGG